TAGAGCCTCTGGAAGGTTGTGGTTTCTGGGGCACAGCAGGAGAAGCTCTAAGTCCAAACAGGATTTGACAGGCCATGAGTAAATGAAAGGCATGAGAGTCACTGGATGTTGGGAATGAAGCCTGTAGATCAGTGGCCACCCTGGCCTGTCTCCAGCTTGTAGCTCATTGGTATAGTCACCACAACAAACCTGGGAAGGAGCAAAAGCAGCACTGTCCTCTTCCCTTCCCTGCTCTGTTCCAGCTGGCTGGCAGCTGATCCCTTCCAAAAGTTAAAAAGGCCATCAAGACAGTGGCTGGCATGGCTTAGTACAGAGGCCTGTATTAAAGCCACTGAGTATTTCAGAGACTAGAAGGCCTGAAGCCACATGGTAGAATGACTAGCAGTGGGTTTATTCTTTGAAAGCGAAGGAGCCTCCTACCCGGGCGCAACACCGAGGGTTGCGATCCCGTGGCCGGTCCCAGTCCGGTACGGACGCGACACTGAGGGTTGCGATCCATTGCCGGTCACGAAAAAAGACAAAAAGGAAAAAAAAAAAAAGAATTTTGCATTCAGTGAAGGTGTTCTCCAAGAAAAAGGTGACAGGATGGCGTCTCCTGGTACCAAAACATGAAGAGAACGTGCTGCCAGCATGTCTGCACCGCAAATGCTAATAACGTTCCTCAGGCTGACAACAGAGGAAAGCAGATGGAAGCTCAAGTCTCCAGCACAGAATGAAGAGTATGGGAAGTAGGAAATAATGTGGGAGAGTATTTAAAAAGTAATAAGAATGTAAGAAAATTTGAGCAGCACAGTTCACAAGCTTTTGAATTTGTTGTTCCCAGAATTGGAGAATACATATTCTTTGTAGTCACATGCAGAATACTTGCAAAAAATTGACCATGTGCTAGACAAAAAAAGTTAGCTAGCCTTAAGAAATTTCAAAAAATTGGGACCACATAGAACACATTTCAGATCACAATTCACTTACGTCAAAAACCAGTGCTAAAAAGATGAGTAGAACACTGCCTACCCTTGAAATTTTAAAAACATTTCTAATTCTTGAGTCAAAGAAATTATTTTGAGGATCAGTAATATTTAGAATCAAATAATAATGTAAATATTTTCACATCAGAATTAAAAATATCTGTTTTTTACCATCATTCTTGGAAGAAAGATGATTTTGCTAGAAATTGATTTCTAGGTTGACAGTGTTTTTCTTTCAGCACATTGAACAATCTTAAGAGGGAAATTTATAGCTTTAAATGTTCAAATTAGTAAAGAAAGGCGTGGAATTGATGAGGTGAAATAGCATTACACCCAAATAAAGCAGAAGAAAGGAAATATTAAGGTTAAGAACAGAAATTAATGAAATAGAACATAAACACAATAGTGTCTACAGATTCTTGTTTGTTTTTTGGTTTTACTTTGCGGGGAGGGGAGCTGGCAGGTGTGGGGATCTGAACCCTTTGACCTTGGTGCTAAAACACCGTGCTTTAACCAACTGAGCCAACTGGCCAGCTCGTGTCTGCAAATTAAAAAGAATAATGAAATAGACAAATCTCTGGCAAGATTAATTTTTAAAAAATAAAGAGGAAGGGTTACAAGAATGAAGCAACAGAACTGCAGACAGTGCCAAGACTTAACGTAGCTTGAGAGGCTACATAAGCAACTCTGTGCTTACAAATCTGAAAACTTAGAAAAAATAGATAAAATAAAAAGTAAAACTTTGCATGACTGAAGAATAATAGAAACCTATAAATAGGGATAGTCTTATAATTGTGAAAGAAATTGAATCAGTACTTCAATCCTCTCTCCCCTATCCTCCAGAGGGCTTTACTGGCAAGTATTGGCAATATTCAAGAAGCAATTCCATTTTGTAAACTCCTTCAGCAAATAGGAAAATAGGGAATATTCCTATTCATTTTATGAAACTAGCATAACCTTAACACCAAAACCAGACAAAGATAGTAAAGTGTGAGGATAAACATCTTAGGCCAGTCTCACTTTTGAAGATAGATGCAAAAATCCTAAGGAAACAAGCAATTGCAAAACCCAAACCAGGAAAATATTAAAAATGATATGTAGTACATCATGAAAAACTTTATTTGCAAGGACCAATTTATTATAAAATTTATTAATGTACCATTTTAACAGATTAAAAGAGAAAATCATGTGATCAGCTTAATAGAGGCAGAAACAGTTTAATAAAATTCATCAGCCATTCATAGCAAAGTTCTCAGCAAACTTGGAATAATGGGGAGCTTTCATTACCTGACAAAGGGCTTCTAAAAGGAAAAAGCTTATAGCCCACATTCTACTTAATGGTAAAATGTTGAGAATTGGTCCTGTAAGACCTAGAGCTAGACAAGGATGCTGGCTGTCAGCACTCCTACTTCATGTTGTAACTGTGGCCCCAGCCAGAGCAGTTAGACAAGACAAAGGAGAAAGGAGCAGAAGGAACACTGAGCAGTCATCATTTGTGTATGCTCGCGTACACAGAATATAAAAAAAGTTTCACAGATAAATTATTAGAATTAAGAGTTATTAGAATTATTAGAATCAATAATTAGAGTGACTTTCAATTATTAGAATTAAGAGTATTAAGATTGCTGGACACAAAAACAGTATACAAAATTAAATTGTTTTTCTGCATAACAATAGATAAATAGATTATGAAATTTTAAGAAGATACCAAGTTCCTAGGAATAAATCTTACAAAAGTTGTATAAATTTCTTTATGAAGACAAAAGATAACATTAAGTTTCACTGAAAGATATTAAAGACAACTTAGTAAATCCCATGATTTTGGTTTGGGAAACTTGCTATTATAGTGATAACACTTCTCCCCAAGTTGATCTGAAATTCAATACAATTCTGGTCAAAATCCCAACAATGTTTTTTTTGTTGTTTTTTAAACTTGACTATATGAATATGGAAGAGCAAAGGGCCAAGAATAGCCAAGAACGAGGTTGGGATTCCCTGTACCAGATACCAGGAATTCAAATCATAACGACATCTGTGAGGATAATTAGGAAGGTTCAGGGATGGAGCTAGATAAATGGGTCAGTGGAACAGAAGAGCGGGCCCAGTGGTAAGCCATGGAGACGGCGCATGCAGAGGAGGCTCTGCACACAGGTCAGAGGGAGCAGTGCACACTCCATCCGTGCTGCTGGACAAGTCCGTGAGAAAGAGAGAGCCCTTAAGGAGGGCGGATAAAAGACTCAAACAGGCACCTTGTAGGAGAGGAATTATGAATGACCCATGAATGTATGAAAAGATGTGCAGCTTCATTAAGGAACAAGGAAATGCATATAAAATAACTTTTCTCACCCAACAGATAGGCACAAATGAAAAATAAGATCATCCTAAGCATTAGAGAAGTTATGGGACAACTCCTTAGAGAGGCAACAGGACTTGCAGGCAGTGCTGGAGGGAACACACGCCAGCACAGCCATTGTGGTGAAGTGGCCTTGGCATTACTAGAAGTGAAGGTGCCTGTGGCCTAGCAGTCTCGTGTATACATTTGAATAAGGGGATGTGAGGCAGACAAGCAACAAAACCAAACCAGCGTCCTTCAGCACGAGCAACTGGTTGTGACTTTTGTTTTGCATGAAATGGAACACCATACAGCAGTAAAACAGATGCATTTCCTCAGCCACACCTCGACACAGATGAATCTCTGAAATAGAATGTGCAGTGAACAAAGCCAGTCACAAAAGGATGTGTACGGTGTGTCTCTGTCTTTATGAAGTTCAGAGAATAAGCACAACTAACTCATCTGTTGTTTAAAGGTATAACTACATGATAAACTAGAACAAGAAAATGGCGATCACACAATTCACGGTGATCAGTGTGGGGTGTCACTGGGGAGGCACCTCCTGTCCCTGAAAGGAAATAGTGGTGTCTGAACATCTGTTGTGGTGCTCCCCAGAAGATGTATTCTATATGTACGCATATGTACACAAGTGCATCACACGACAGGATTGACACTTAGCATCAGATGCACTCAGATGTGTTCTTTTCTTTAAAAAAAAGCAGGGCCGGCCCGGTGGCGCACTGGATAAGTGTGCTGCTTGGGAAGCGCGGCGGCGCTCCTGCCCGAGGGTTCGGATCCCACATACAGACTGGTTCCCGCTCACTGGCTGAGTGAGGCGCGGGGGCGACACCGGGGGGTGCAGTCCCGTTGCCGGTCCTCAGTCCGGTACGGGGGTAACACTGAGGGTTGCGATCCGTTGCCGGACACAGAAAAAGACAAAAGACAAAAAAAAAAAAAAAAAGCCACTTGTGACCCACTGAATTGATTTGTCGCTCACAGCTTGAAAACGTTTCAGGGCTTAAGCTGGTTAACACTGAGGGTTGCGATCCGTTGCCGGACACAGAAAAAGACAAAAGACAAAAAAAAAAGCAGCCACTTGTGACCCACTGAATTGATTTGTCGCTCACAGCTTGAAAACGTTTCAGGGCTTAAGCTGGTTGGTGAGTACATGGCTTTTAGTTTACGACTCCTCTTCACCTGGTGCTCATCGTTTTGTTTACACTTCTGTCACAAAGTAGAAACTGCTCAAAGCCAGCGGGGAGAGGATGCCTCTCAGTGCCTCTGAAGAGCCAGGGCTGAGCTGGATGGGCTGCCCTGGGCTCCTTGTCTGCAGAGGGAGCCTGGGTTCTGTGGGGAGATGGCTTGTTTCATGGTCCTTTAAAGTGGGATTTAGCTCAGGGAGCGTTTTGCAAGCCTCATGTGTGGCAGGGAGCTCAGAGAGGGTCTCCCTCAGCTGTTTCCTTCTGGTCCTGACCAGAGGGGCTGTCCTGGGCCATTTTGGTCCAGCATTCTCCCTCCCGGGGTTGTCAGGCCTGGGCTGCAGCTCTGCTAGCTTTGCTGGTGTGGGACAGCACACTTTGGGCGGCTGCCTCACCTAGCACAGGGCACACACCCTGGCATGGCCCATTGTCCTTTTCCTTCTCACCCCAGCTTCCCAGGACTTTCTCAGAGCATTTCTGAGTCCCAATCCCACCTTCCAACAGGTGCCAAGCCAGCTGCCTCTGTCGACCCATGGGGAGTACCCACCGGAGCCAACACACACTCTGTCCCCAAGAGCCCAGACCCCTGGGCAGCTTTGCAGCAACCTGCCCCCAGTACTGGGAAAACTACTTCTGATGCCTGGGGCACTGCCTCAGCCGCCAAGCCCATGTCTGCCTCTGGTGAGCCCCTCAATCTTGCCCGGGCTCTGCACGCCCCTGGCCCAGCAGCGTTTCCTGGTCCTGGCCCTCGGCCTGTTGGTTTGCCTACATTTGCTCCCCTCCCCGCCTTAGCCTTTGTCCCAATCCCCAGATCCCAAGCACCAAAAGCAGTGAGCCCACACTCACTGTGCACCCCACACCTCCCTCCCTAAGGGCTTCTTGAGTGGGTGTTGAGAGAATAGGCTGCTCTGGGCCCACAGCCACAGCCTTGTCCTCACCCTGGGTCCCTGGGCAGGCTGACCTCCATGCACTCCTTCAGGTAACTTCCTGCAGACCCTCATCCTAGCGTTCCTACCCAGCTCCATGTGCCTCTGCTATCTGTTTGGGGCGGGGATGATAGAGGCAGTGGCAGGTGGGTTCCCACACTATGCACTGGGAGGCCAGGCTTCCTGCTCCCTTCCTGGTTCCCCTCCCAGTTTACCAGTAGACCTGAGCTCATCTTGCCCCCTTTGGCTCTTGGAGTTCTCCCCCATGAGGCGGGGTAGGTAAAGAGAAGCATCTGTTGCCAGCCCACCCCAGGGAGTGGACTGAGCAGCTGAAGTGCCACGAAGTCGTGTGATGCACCCACTGAGTCGCTGGCCTCTGTGTCTACCCAGGGTCCTTTGATCTCTTCAGCAATTTGAATGGTACAATTAAAGATGACTTTTCTGAATTTGACAACCTCCGAACTTCAAAAAAAACAGGTATGTAAAGGTGGTGGTGGTTTCAGTAATATACTGTGCATTTGACCAGCTCAGTTATTGCAAAAATAATAGCTTTCAAAACCGATCACCTTCATGCATTTCTTTGTATTTTGATCTTGGGAGCCTGAATCTTCTAATTCCAGGAATTCACACATCAACAGTGAAAAGCCAGAAGGTTGAGCTTTTCTCCTTTTCCTCAGGTTGCGCCGAGTTCTGTGTCTCGCCAGTTCTCCCCTGGGGCTGCATCTCTGAGTCAAGCAAGCCCTGCAGCTCCCCACAGAAGCCCACCACCCTGGCCCCCCAGCCCTGTGTGGCCCCCATATCGTTTCCAGACACCTTCCTCCTGCAAACTTCCTACTCCTCACAGTGCCTCGTTTTCGTAGACAGCCCTTCGGCATGTGGGGGCCAATCACTGCCCCACATCATCATCCCCCGGGTTACAGGCCCTGCCCAGGAGACTAACAGTTCAGTCTCTAAACCCAGCTTCCTCCCCTGAGTGCCCCTGGGCTGGCGGGGGTATCAGGTGGGTGCAGAAAGAAGAGACCCTGGGGGTGGAGGGGCCCTGGGAAGAGGCCTGGGATGTATTCTTCACGTAGTCCTGTGTGGAGTGGGGACAGGGCTGGGCAGCCTGTGTCCACCTTGGGGTCACACCCCCAGCCATGCTCAGCAACTTCTGTCTTTTGTCTCTCTTCTCTTGGCCTCCCCTCTCACCTTCCCCAATCCCCACCACTTCCTCCCTCCCACCCTCCTCTGCCTCTCCCTTCTTTTTTAGCTCCCCCAGCTGCAGCCACAGGCCTGGCTGGGCCCTGGTCTAGGGTACAAGCAGCCAGCATCCCTGACTACCCCTTTGGCCCCCTCTCATCAGGGATTGGGACAAAGGCTAAGGTGGGGAGGGGAGCAAATGCAGGGGCTCCCAGCCAGGAGGCCAGAGGCAGCTTCGAGAACGTGCTGCTTTTCAGGGTGTTTTCTTTTGCTGTACAGAAGAAAATAAGATTCCACATCTCCTCCACAGGCCAGAGTGCAACCTCACCTGTCCTTGCCTGGCCCTATGCCTCAGTGAGAAAACAGCTGGGCCCTTGTTATATACTGGCTTTTAACGTGTTTATCTCCAGTTATAGAAGTATTCCCATTGTAGAAAATTTGGAATGGTACAATTTGGAATTTCCAATTTGTAGAAAATTTGGAAAAGTTTATGGAAGAAAATGAAAATTTTCTATAATCCTTTCACCTGCACTCGGCCACTGAGCTCCCACAGTCATTTATTCAACTCGTGCTGTCAGGTGGGATTGAGTCCTGCCTGCCTGTCCACCCCAGTTTTTATGGATTGACAGATTGAAAACATTTCCTCATGACTTAGAGAAGACTTTGTAGCTATATAGAATCTCTTAGAATGGCTCAGCAGTAATTCATTTAATCCTTACTTTGGGGGAGGACGTTTTGGGTAGATTTCAGGTTCTGCTGAAGTAAATAATGCTGTTGTGAACGTGTCTGTGCTTTTATTTCTGTTCACACTCTGCATTATTTCCTTAGACTGGATTTCTAGAAATGGGATCTCTGAGCGGAAGCAGGACTGTTTTCAGAACCCCTACACCCTGGCCACGTTGCGTCCCACAGAGCAGTCGCTTTCTCACTGGCTTATCTCAGCACACCCTCTGTTGGCTGCATTTTGAAAAACAATTTTCTCTTTCTTTACTATCAAGAAATTCCTGTTCATTATAGAAAATTTAGAAAATGAAAATTTAAAAAAGGTAAATTACCCACACCTAGCTCCCAACCCAAAGTAATGTCTTAGTATTTGCAGAGGACTGTGCTACATGCAGTTTTGTAACCTGCTTTCTTCACTTAATGTTTTGGTGCAGCTTTCTTTGCTCATCATAGAGTATTCTTCTGTCCCTGCGTTTTGGTGATTGGTTATGTGGACGCGAGGTTTATTTAACCCGCCCCACACTGGCTGTGTGTCTCCATTTGGGGCTGTTGGAGCAACACTGCAGTGACCACGCCATCTTGTCCATAGCCCTGTGTGTCCACCGGGGAGTCGCGGCACTGGGAACGTCCATGTTTTGCTTTGATGCTCGCAGGGTTGGCAGCATTAGGTGCTTGTCTTGGGCCCTTGCCCTCCGTGCTTACTGTGCCTGTGTATATCCTTGTCTTGTAGCCGAGTCTGTGGCCTCTGTGCCATCCCAAAACAATGGAACTGCAAGCCCTGACCCCTTTGAGTCTCAACCCCTGACTGTCGCCTCGAGCAAGCCCAGCAGTGCCCGGAAAACACCCGAGTCCTTCCTGGGCCCCAACGCGGCCCTGGTGAACCTGGACTCGCTGGTGACCAGGCCCGCCCCGCCGGCCCAGTCCCTCAACCCTTTCCTGGCACCAGGTAGGCCTGCATCCCGGGGCTTCACCCAGCTGCTTGTTCTGCCTGAGGCTGGGTGTGTGGCAGGTCTCCTGGGGGGCTCTACCCATACCGTGTCCCATACGCAGCCTGTGGGTGGGAAGGAGCGGAGCCAGCAGGATCTCCGGACCTGGTGCTTCAGCCTCCCTCCAGCACCACGCGGGGAGGGCGTGGCTGCAGAACAGTCCCTCTTCTCTCAGTGGACAGCACCAAGCAGCAGCTGCCACCGACTTGGTGCCCCTGGCAGGGAGCCCCCTGAGCAAGTGCCAGCTCCGGGTCTGACGGAGGAGGGCGGGGTGCTGTGGTGAGGAGTAGTTGCGTTTGCTGCCCAGCACCTCCCCTTTTGGGGGAAGATGTAACTTGGCTGTTTAGTATGAGCTCCCCTCCAGGGACCTCGCTTCTGCTGCCGGTGCAGGGCTCTGCTCTGCGCCCTTCAGGGGCTCCACGCTGGCTGCAGGACAAGCCCCCAGCCCCTTGACTTCGTGTCCAGGGACATTGTGGCCTGACCCAGCCCCACCCTCCCTCCCCGTGTGCATCCAACCCTCAGCTACACCGAGCTCTGCAACATTCCTTAACTTTGTGCCTGGAATGTCCTGCCTCCAGTGGAGACATCTTATTCACCCTCCAGCACCCGGCTTGGTGGATCCTCTTCTACAGGCAGCCCTCCTTCCTCACAGATTTCCCAAAGGCCTTGGGCTCCCCACAGGCAGGAATGTGTCCCCTGTCAGGTGTTCAGCCTCGGACCTGACCCCATGATGTAGGGAATCTGAGGATCCTGGGCCACCGCCCCTGACAGGACCTTGCAATGGAGAATGACCTCTGGGCTTAGAGGGGCTGAGGTTGGGGACCCTTGGGCAGAAGCAAGTTAGGGAGTTCCTGGGTCCCACTCAACCATGAGGTCTAGAGATGGGTGAGGATGGCAGGTCGCCCCCAAGCTGGAGCTGAATGAGAACCCAGACTCCTCAGCCAGCCTGGAGCTTGTCCCTGCTTCAGGAGGGCTCCTGCCTCTTCTGCTTAGAGAGCCCTCTAGGACCCTGCAGGAGCTCCACTGGCCGGCTGTGTCCATCAGCTGTCAGTACCACCTTGGAGCTGTAGGGCAGCTTTGCTGTCTCCAAACCGGTCATGGTCCCTGGGGGCTGTAGCCAAGATGGCAGAAAATTTGGCAGCTCTACTGGATCTCCAGGGCCATTCTGTAGGCCACACAGGTGGCCCTGGGCTGTCATTTGTGGGATCCCATGGACCAAAGACACAGTCCTTACTCTGTCCCTTCCTGGCTGGTGGGCTCGAGCAAGTCACTGTACTGCTCTGTAGTCCATTTCCTCAGCTGTACCTGGAGGTACGGTGCAGAGCCCTCTCCTAGGGTTATGGGGAACACAGTCCTTACTCTGTCCCTTCCTGGCTGGTGGGCTCGAGCAAGTCACTGTACTGCTCTGCAGTCCATTTCCTCAGCTGTACCTGGAGGTACGGTGCAGAGCCCTCTCCTAGGGTTATGGGGGCTCTGTTTCCTCAGCTGTACCTGGGGGTGATGTGCAGAGCCCTTTCCTAGGGTTATGGGGGGTTGATGCAAGGATCTCTGTGTGCCTCCCCTGTGCGGTTGGAAGAGTGGCAGCTTTGTCTCCGCAGTGTTGACTTCTGGGGCTGCCCCTTGATGGGCACCCTCGGTGAGCAGGGGCTGGGCTCTAGAGACTCAGAGCTTGGCTTCTCTCAGCCTTTGTCTCCTCATCCTCAGAATGGACATTCATGCAGTCAACAGATGTGTCCCAGTGTTTCCATAGACCCAGCCACAGTGTCATAGGGCTGGAGGGCACAGCAGGGACCAGAACATACACAGCCCCTGACCTGGAGCTCAAATCTGGTACCAGTAAGCTGCATCCTGGCAGGGACAGATGCTGTCCTGACAGCTCAGTCTCTGCCCCACCTGCTTTTTCCCCAGGTGCAGCTGCTGCCCCAGCCCCCATCAACCCCTTCCAGGTGAACCAGCCCCAGCCGCTGACGCTGAACCAGCTGCGGGGGAGCCCAGTCCTGGGGACCAGCACATCCTTCGGGCCTGGTCCAAGTGTGGAGCCCATGGCCACGGCCCCCATGACCTCTGCAGCCTCACTCCCAGCTATGGGGGCCAGTGGTTCTTCTTTGACACCACTGGGCCCTGCAACGATGAACATGGTGGGCAGCATGGGCATCCCCCCATCGGCAGCTCAGGCCACCAGCACAACCAACCCTTTCCTAAAAAAAAAACAAACTACAATACAACAAAACCCCAAGCCCCTGGCTGCCTTTCCTTTCTCTAACTCCCTTTTTTGGTGAATTACTAAACTGATTGACTTTCAGCCTTTTTGGCTAGATCCTGAGAGAGGCTGTTTTTCTTACTGATATACCAACATCTTGAAAGTTAAAAAAATCTAACGTATGAATGTGACTCACCAGTTTTTATCAATTCCTTTTTAAAATTAAAGGCATGCAGGGATTAACAAGGACTTCTGCTTAGAGTGGAAATCTGAAATGCAAGAATCTTTAACCTTGTGTATCTGTGCTCTCTCCTCTGTCTTAATCCACGCTCAGGTTAAAGATGGGGTAATGTGGAAATGGCAGTCGTCCCAGGGGTTGGTGCCCACAGGTCCCTGGGGATGGTCCCCAGATGAGATGGGGGTGTGGGACCAGGGCTGGCCCTGATCCACCTACCTGCTAACCCCAGACACATGTTGCAGACTTAAAAATAATCCTCTTTTTTGGAGAAAAATATTCTCACACGGGATAGATTTTTAACAAATGTGCACTAATATTACCTCCCTCTCCCAACCTCCTGCTGTCCTCACCCCACCCACCACTATAAAAAGTATTAAGTCACAAATTAAAAGAACAGACTTGCTTGTCCCCAGGGAAGGGACAGTGCCCCAAATTGTGGCGGGCACCTCACCTCCAGCTCCAAGGGCAGCTGACCGCCTGCTTGCCCCTGTCTGGTTCCAGAAGGAGCTCTGACCCTTAGCACTGGCACTGGAGAGATTAGAATGGTCGCTGGGCTGCTGAGAGGATGTACAGGCTCTAAGGGAGGACTGCCCATCCAGACATGCCGTCCTGAGGCCCCAGGAGCCACGTTCCCAAGTCCTTGACCACCCACCCTCTGCCAGAACCAAGGCCTGGTGCTGGGCCTCAGGGCTCCTGATGCCATTCAGGAAGGCTGGTGGTTGGGCCCTTCCTGCCTGGGGGAAGTGTGGGGGGCACGGTGGGATGCAGGGTGCTTGTCCAGGAAGGTGCTTTCCCTCAAATGGTGCGGGGCCTGGACCAGCCTTACAGGTCAGTAGACCATACTCAACTACTTGGGGTCAGTGATTCTTTTTTAACAGATAAGAGCCCTCCTGACAAGACTTTGAGGCCCCAACATGACAGCCACTGGGCCAGCAGAGCCCAAGAAGGCAGCCTATGCCTCGCCTCCCGGCATAGCCATTCTGAGTGCACATTGTCCCTGTTGCCCGCTGCACTGATCCTGAAACCACCGGCCGTGCTATGCGTGTTGCCATGGGCCAGTGTGCTCCCTCCTGATGGCCCCGTGGTGGCGGAAGTCATCCAGCCATTAATCAGTCCCAGGGGCCGGTGGCTGGTTTTGAACTTGTGTTGACTGTTGATACTTATTTACTGTATAAATATAATTTATCATTTGTATCATGATGCGGTTTCTGGCTGTGTCCTTCCCCTGCACGGTCTCTTTCAATCCTGTGCCACAGGACAGGGGTGGGCAGGCTAGGGAGCCAGTTCCTGCCCAGAAGCCAGCTCTGCCTACCACAAATGAAGCCACCAACCTGGTCCTGGTGCCCGTGTGAGCTGGGCACTTGGTGCCCCTGAACCTCGGGGAAGGCCTGCCCTTGGTGGAAGCGTTGGCCCCCATCCCCACCCCTTCCTGCGTCCACCCTTGCAGGGCCTGCACATCAGTGGAGTTGAAAGTGTGCCAGCTCCAAGGCCGGGGTTCCCACTGCCACCTGGTCAGCGGGTCTCAGAAGGAGCATGTGGAGGGAGCTGCCAGCCAACCTGCAGCCTCCTGGAGGAGTGACGGGTGGGGCACCTGTCACACAGCTTCACTGGCAATAGCTGGCTGGTGCAGAGGGCCCAGGCCCTCTCAGAGCCTGTGATCAGAGGAGGGCAGCGCTGGAGGACTGGAGCTTGTTTCCAGGCAGCAGAGGTGGAAGAGGTGTTCAACTGTAGGAGAAGGCAGGGCAAGGGTGGTCGGGGAGGTGCAGATGGGAAGGTGGGCGGAGAGGCCTGAGATGGGCTGGAGGGAGGACCTGGCCCTGTGCTCTGGCCTCTGCTCAGGCTGCCGCTCCCTGGACTGCCCTGCAGCCCATCTGCTCTCTGCTGAGCACATGGATCCCAGAGGCCACTCGGGTGAGTGGATGAGCCTGGCCCTGCAGGGCTCAGCCGGGGTTTGAGGGGGCCCGTTCTGCACAGGTGACAGGAGAAGAGGAGGGGTGTGTTGGGATGCTCCAGGCTATACTGCGGTAGCAAAGCTCCATGTCTTGGTGGCTTGACACAATATGAATTTGTTCTCACAGTGGGTGACTCAGGGACCCAAGCTGTTTCCATCTTGAGACACTGCCATCTTCCACAGACAGCCCTGAAGGCATCTTGGTGGCTTGACACAATATGAATTTGTTCTCACAGTGGGTGACTCAGGGACCCAAGCTGCTTCCATCTTGAGACACTGCCATCTTCCACAGACAGCCCTGAAGGCAGCTTTCAGAGGGAAAGACTGAGAAGGGTCAAGTGTGGGAGATTTCTTACATGACTGCCACCCATGGTCCAGCACCAGAACTGTCCCAGGTCCCATCCAGACGAGGAATGGGAAAACGCAGACGCCCTCTGTGCCCAGGGGACGGCAGAGAGGCTTGGTTCACATATGCCAGTTACTGTTGCAGCCGGTGTTCTTCCCACACACAGAACGTACTGTCCCACTGCGTCTCTGTGACCAGGTCAGAGTTCAGTGAGGGCCCAGGTCAGAGCCCAGCAGAGCAGCCCGTGAGGGGTCCAGGGCCTTTGCTTTGTGTAGTTGTTTTGTAATACAGGTTGAGCATCCAAAACGCTGGGGACCATAAGTGTTTTGGAATTTGGATTTGCTTGAATTTTGGAATATTTGCAAAATACATGCGGTTGAGCATCCCTAAATCCAAAAATCTGAAACCCAAAATGCTCTGATGAGCATTTCCTTTGAGTGTCATATCAGTGCTCAAAAGTTTCAAATTTGGGAGCATTTCAGATTTCTGGGTTGGGACACTCAACCTGTGTAAGTGATGTGGCGATCCTGTAGAGGAAGAAGACTCATGGTGTGGGAAGGAGGGAGAACCCCCTTATGGTGGACACCTGTGAGAAGCCAGAGGGCACAGGGTCTTGTACACACCTGAGGGGCAGCCTCTCAGGAGCAAACACAGGCTGGCCGTGGAGGTGCTGGTGGGAGTCTGAGGGAGCTCTTCGTGGAGGGGCAGGGAGTGCACTGAAGGTTTGAAGAGAAAAGGTGTGAGTTTTCTCAGACTGCAAAAGGAAGTTGTCTGAGGAAGTAGACTGGGACTCTGGTGGCATTGAGGGCCACATGAGAGCTGGGCCACGGACCGACATGGGCCAGTCAGCAGGCCCTGGTGCCCAGGAAGATGCAGAGCAGACTGTCACAGGGCGAGGCCTGCACAGCGAGGTTGGAGAAAGGAGGAGAGGCTCAGAGAAGCGCATGTTGAGTGACACCATGACTTACCAACTGGATGGGAAGAAGCAAGGAGAGGGGCTGACAGGCGGTGAGGAGGGGGCTGGCCAGTGGCTCGGAGGTTCCGAGTGGAAGGAAGGACTGATGGAATGGGGACCGTGGGAAAGGGCCGCGTGGGGGTCAGGTAGTGGTGTGCGAGAGGGAAGCCTGGATCCAGATTTTGGAGTTGGTGCAGTCACAGTAGCAACAAGTGTGCTGTATGGGCTTGGGTGGCTGTGAGGAGTAGAGGTCAAGATATTGCAAGTGAGGAGGTTGAGGATGAGGCCAGGTTGTTGGAAGGATCATCCACATGGACAGCGATGTCACAGAATAGCTGGAGCAAAAGATGGTGAGCAAGGTAGTTAATCAGGTCTTTGGCAGATGCCAGTAGCTGGTGACGTGGTCTGCTGGCTGGGGCTTCAAGAAGCTGGGATGGGCAGGGAGGAGGGAAGCAGTCTGGAAATGCTCATGAGGGGCAAGGACCCCCAGCCCCCCATCTCTAGACTGTGGTACACGGGAGGAAAGAGATGCTGCTGAAGAGGGCTGCAGGGGACAGAGTGGGCTTCAGTAAGGGCCAGAAGGTACAGGGAACTTTGCATTCAGAGAAGATGGTCAGAATCGCAGCAATTTTGCTGACAGACCAGGAGTTCCAGAACGCAGTGAGCTGGGGGCAGGGGATGGGAGTGCGCTGTAAGTGACATAAAGGGTAGAAGAGGGTCAGTTTGGATGGCCTTGTAGGGAAAGTTCCAGTGACAGCCCAGGGCAGCATGTAGTGGTGAGGCTAGTGGGCCTCAGGCTGGGCAGTGGGGCATGCCAGTTGCCTGGGGCCTGGCACATTTTGGCTTCCCTTCAGCCCCACTGTGGGTCGTGTCCAGCCTAGGGCATTATGCTGCGGAAAGCTCTGTGGCAGGGCAGGGAGAGTGCCGCAGCCCGCGCATAGAGGGTGCCCTGAGGCTGCCTCGTGCTGTGCTGGGCGAGTGCGTGGAGATGGCGAGGCCTAGCACCTGCAGTAGTGCCGCAGGGACTTGTGTGCTGAGGGCTCAGATCCCAGAGTGGCCTGGGACCAGCTGCGATGCCAGGGTGTTGGGCCGAGGAGCTTGCCAGAAAGCTGGGGTCCAGTGTTGCCACCCACCTCTGGAAAGTTTCCAGCCCCCATCCTTGGGCTGCAAGAGGAGGCAGGCAGAGACCAGGCTGGGAGTCTGTGTCCCCAGGGCACCTCGCCATCCAGCTCTCACTAACAGAATCCTCTCCTTGCCAGGGAAGGCTGGCAGTCATGGAACACATTAGCGCTACCAGGGCCAGGCGAGTGATTCTACTTCACTCCAAAGCCTCCGGGTGATGTGCTCACTTTAGGGGTGAGTGTGTTGAGGTGCAGAAAAGACCACACAGCTGTTAGTGGCACAACCAGGGTTATGTCAAAGCTCATGTCCTAGTTGGCCATCCCAGTGTGTGGTCTCCTGGCAGCTTCCACCCCTGCACAGTACTCTGCAGGGTTGGGGAGGAGGGACGGTGCACCCAGCCCCCGTGGCCTGCTCCCATGGGAGACGTGCTAAAGAGGAAAGAAGGCAGCCCCAGGCCAGGGCTCTGAAAACATGACACTTTATTATATAAAACTGTCCCCCGCAGCGCCCCTGCCCCTGCTTCCACCACCAGGCTGCACTTTGGGCTGATGGGTCAGTGGCCAACTCCAAAAGAGCCTTTCCCAGAGGCTGATGCCTTCACCGGGGGATGCCCTGGGGCAGGCTGGGTCCCAAGATTCCCTGTGTGTCTGCAGGCCCAGTGTCGTAGCCCAGCTTCCTCATGTCCTTGGTCACCACGTTGAAGAGGAGGGTGACAAAGCCCTGAGAGCGGACACGGGTCACTGGAGACAGAAGGATAGGATTGGCTGGGCTGGGGCAGACACACACGTAGGCTGCTTTGAGACAGCCTCAGCCTTCTCTTCTGTAAAGTGGGGACGACCGGCCCATGTCCCTCACTGGGAGGTAAAGGGCTCCAGTGGGAACAGACATGGTAACCTTCTGTGCTCTGACCAGGCCTTCATCTGTGACGTGCTCCAGGAAAATTCTTGGGCCGGCTCCTGCAGTAGTGGTTCCCAGGTGCCCCAGAGGTCCCCATCTGTTCCCTGGAGGCCCACCTAGTCCCTCCCCAAGCTCCAACCTGCTTGTGGGGTGGGGATGGCATTGGGGAGCATCAAGCTTTACCTTCCCGGCCTTCACCCTGAGCCACCACCTTGGGATCTGTGTACTCGGGCCGCCGTCCCATGAACCAGCTGGGAACACAGGAGAACATGGGTGAGCAGGGCCCTGCCTGGGTATTCCTGGCCTCAGACACTGGATGTGGACTCTCCTTGTTTCAGAAACCAGCATCCCTTCTCCAACCCCTCCCCCAGGGGCCTGCCTGCCCTGTGCCCATCAGAAGGGCAAAGCCAGGCACCAGAGTAGTGTCATCCCTTGTCTGGGTCTGGTGGCCAGTGAAGGCCTGGCGGGGTTCTGCGGGGCCTCAAGTGCTCCGCAGCCCACTCCTCAGCTGGAGTGGCAAGCTCTCCCTCCCAGTCTCTCATGGGTTGGACTCGCAGGGGATGAAAGATAAGGGAGATTTGGGGTTGGGGTGGCGATACAGCCTGAACCCAGCTGGGAATCCCAGAAAGGTGACAGCAGATGAGGTGGGGGAATGGCAGGAGGGGACACTGACCCCCCAGCCTCCCCAGGAAGGACAGCCCCACCCCAGAGTCCATGGGGTGGGCAAAGAGGCCAGATCTGGGCTCCGAGCTTTGCCTCTTAGTAGTGTGGGGTCCACGACAAGTCACTTCTCATCTCTGAATCTCCACTTGTCAACTGTGCGATGAGGATAATGATGGCGCCTACCTCGGGGGGCTGTGGGGTGAGGGCAGTCTGTCAGCTGCCGTGAAAACACTGCCCTTCCTGGGTAGGTCTGGCCCTGGGCCATCTGACTCCACGGTCAGCCCTGCTGTGGGCACCGTGGGGCTCAGTAGGGTCCCAGGGGAGCCCCAGGCCCGGGTGTGCAGGCCACGCCTCCGACACACCCACTCAAGCCTGAGACAACAAGGTGCACTGTTCCCGGCTGGGCAGGTCCCCGCAGTCGCGGGCTTCATCCCCAGGGTGCCAGGAAGAACTTGTCGCCTCTGCTGGGCAGGGACAGCTCCCATGAAAACACAACCCCCAGGACGGCCCGGCCCACAGTGGCTCCCAGCGCGGGGGGCACAGATAAGGGCTGCAGGTAACCCTGACAAGGCAACGCCCCACCCCCGCTGCCCAGCATCTCTCCCCTGACTGACAGGAGTCACGGGGAGGGGAGGGGCTCCTGCTGGAGACGACAGTGAGGGAGCACTGCGTGCTGACTCCTGGCCCGAGGAAGGGGACCCAGGGCTCTGGCCAGGAGCTGTGCATTCCAGATGGGGACTGGATGGGCGGGTCCACCCTCTCTGTGCCTCAATTTCTCCATCCGTGTACCAAGGCCCTAACTGCACCCACCTCCCAGGTGGCCACGTGTAAGGACTGAGGCCCAGGAAGCAGTCCCCACCATGCCCACAGGCCCTAAGTGCTAATGCACAGAGCTGCCATCCTCCTTGCATTTCTGATTCTCTCCTGGGGCCCACAAGGGTGTCTGCTCATCTGACTGGGGTGGATATCCGGGGCAAGGGCCGCAGGCAGGGAAGGACCCAGTGGGCTGGAGAGACCAAGGCAGGTGAGGAACAGGGCAAATGGAAGCAGGCAGGAGAGAGGCCGTGAAGTCAGCAGGGCCCACAGCCTGGGGCCTTGTAGCTTTCTGGTCGAAATTAACCCTAAATGCCAAGGGATGTGCCTGGGCTGTTTCTAGCAGGGGAAGGGCATGGCCTAAATTGTCTTTTGGGTATACCATTTTTGTTATTATGTGAAGACTAGGTTGCAGGGGCTGCGGTAGGATGAAAAAAGGCCCTGCCCAGTTGAGAGCCCCTCTAGAGGGCTGGAGGTGGCCCCCGCCCCAGCTGCTATCCCTCAGGCACTCTGCAGGCTGCAAGGCCTTGCTCCTTGAGCACAGAACCCTCTCCTCAGCGAGTGGTCGCCTGGAGCTGTGGGACATGGAGCAGTGTGCACCACCTGGCCAGGGTGGCGGTGTGGACTCTCAAAGCACCTAACCTGCCCCCAGTCCATAGACACACACTATCCCATTCCTCCCTGACCACCCAGGTGACACTGGCCCAGGGCATTTGTCTAAGAAGCTCCTTCCCACATGGTGGTCTCCCGGGGGGCTGCTAGGAGCAGTGGCCCCACATTCCCGGGCCAAGGCCAGTGGAGAAACTGCTGTCCACCCCTCCATGGCCACAGAGCTCAGCGAGGCTGTCTCAGCCCTGAGGCCTGACGTTGTCCGTCCACTAGGAGGGCTCTAGCCAAGCCTGCAGGGAGTGCTCGCTGACTGCCGCCTGTGAACCCAGAAGGTCCTCCACCTGCTCCTTGTCCCCTCTGACCCTCTGGGGAGCAGCGGTGGCTTGCAGCCAAGTTGACAGACACTTCCATCGCCAGCCTTAAGTCGGTCAGCCAGGGCCCGCAGGCCCTCCAAGCCCCTACTCAAATGTAGCACAGGGTAAGAGGCCTTCCCACAGGGGCTTCCTCCAGGATCTGTGTCTGGCCCCGCCTGCCTCCCTGACTTCTCCCCGCCACATCCCCCTTGCTCACCACTCACCAGCCACACTGACCTCCTGGCTGCTCCTAACGTGCTAAGCTCACGCCTTCCTCAGGCCTGGCACGTGCTATTGCTCCCTGTACCTAGAATGTTCTTCCCCCAGGTCTTCCCATGCTGGCTGCTTACCTCTGCTCAAACATCACCTGCTCCCAAAGGCTCCCACAATGTAAAGGCAGTTAGCAACTTCCTGAAAAAAGCTACCCATTGTCATTATCACTGTTTTAAGGTGTTGGCTCATGCTGCTGTATCCTCTTGTATCCTACCTTTTAATGTCACATTATGCCATGAGCATTTTCCCATTGACAGACGTAACATGGTACAGTAAAGCTGCATGGTCTTATGCTGCTAGAAGGTGGAAGGGAGCTCAGTGACCTTCTGCAACCCCATGGGACCCGTTTCCATTTGTCCCCAGTAACTGGAGCAGCTTGAAGATAGGGTGGAATGTGACATCCATTCATCATAGATCAGGAGGGGCTGGGGTTACGGACAGAAAACTCACCTCGTAAACTTCTGCAGTTTAGACGTAGATTCTGGGACAAACATAGGGATGGTCCTTTTGTGCCTGAAACAAATGTTTTCACAGACATATGTGCCAAGTGACAAAAAAGTGATGCGCCTTTCTGAGCCTCCAAAGAGCAATGAGCAGGAACACTTGTGGGTCAGGGCGGCATGGCTGCAGCGTGGGCTGGGTCAGGGTCGATGCCAACAGACCCACCCTGCGCTCCTGAGCATCAGCTGTGCCTGGCAGGGTGCTGAGTGCTCAGAGACAGCAGGGGATGTCACAGGCCGAGACCAAGCCTTGCAGAGGGCCTTTTCTTTTCAGGGACCCATGCCCTCCCGATCCACCTGGTGCTTGGCCAGCAGCATGAGCCTCACCACCCACCCACGTGGGTCATTCCTAGATCTGGTCTGCACCCCAGCCTCCATATTGAGCTGCCCAGGCCTCTGGGGACCCCAGAGTGTTCCCAGCCTGAGACCAAGATGGAAGAGGAGGTGATTCCTGTCCTAGGACAAGAGCTGCCAACGGTGCCCAGTACCAAGGCCAGCATGGCCTAGCATAGGACAGGCCAGAGTGAGGACCTACCGGCCGGGTGAGAAGGGCACATGCACTGCTCCGTAGCCTCGGACCACGTCGTTTCCAAACATGTCCAGTCCATAAACACTGAGCACGATCTGTGGCCCTTGGAAAGGACAAGACGGGGTTGACATGTGGGGAAAAACGGGGATCATGCAGGGCAGAGAATGGGGCATTCCAGAAGAGTCCCAGGATGGTGCTCAAAGCCCTGGGGGTAGCGGGCTCCAGAGGGCAGGAGTGGACGTGGAACCCTGACTGCACCAAGGGCTTCTGTCCACCTGGTACTGTGCCTCTGCAGATGCCCTGGGAAGGCACTCTCTACACCCCCTCTCACATCTGGGGAGACAGGGCCAACACGCTGTCCCAACTCTGTCACCTGATGGACACAGGAAGTGTCTCCAGAGGCCCTGTTCTAGGCATTGGGCCTCAGCTACCATCAGAGCAAATGGCCCACACTCCCGCTCTCTGGGAGCTTCCTTTCTGATGGAGGCGGTCACACTAAGTGTGCATGGCATGCACGGGCTCTCATTTTGGGGGTGTTTGAGAGATGTCAGAGAGAAAGCAAAGATCTTCCAGGCATCATCCTTTAAAATATTAACAATTACACCTATTTCCTGTTAATATCAAGGCATATTAGGTGCTTTCACCCAGTTAGTTTCTCAGTGTAGGGGAGAGACCGTTGCCCCAGGTGACAGGTGAGGCATGGAGGAGCAGGGAGGACCTGCCTGCCAGGCTCTGATCCTGCGGTCACTGCTGAATGACCTCGAGCAAGTTACCCAGCCTCTCTGCCACTCAGTTTCCCTGTCTCTAAAACACTCGGAACAGTGCCTGACGCATAATAAGTGCTCAAGAACTGTTAGGGAGAGGTTTGTACCCTTTCAGTCACTACCACCACCAAAGGTAACAGTACTCTGAATTTTATGGAGGCCTCTACTTTTCTTTAAGACTTCTCCATCAAAAAATGCGTCCCAAACATGGTACTTTAGTTATACCCATTTTTTGAACTTCACATAAAAGGAATCGTACAGTGTGTACGTTTTTGAACCGAGCCTCTTTAATTCAACTTGATGTTTGTGAGATTCACTCAGATGGTCTCATGTACAGGAGTATGTTCATTTTCAATGCTGTATAATAATCTACCATCAGAATACAGCACAATAACTGTGCATTCTAGTGCTTATGGACAAACAGGCTGTTGAGCTGGGAGGCTCTGAGCACTCTGGTACAGCTTTTTATGGATAATCTTGAACAGATTAAAGAAGTTTCCTTCTATTCCTATATAAGGAGAAACTTATATTCCTATATGTTTTTTGGGTTTTTTTTATAAAAAAGATGAGCCGTACGGGGATTGTAACCCTTGACTTGGTGTTGTCAGCACCACGCTCTGCCAAGTGAGCTAACCGGCCATCCCTATATAGGATCCGAATCCATGGCCTTGGTGTTATCAGCACCGCACTCTCCCGAGTGAACCACAGGCTGGCCCTCACCAAGTTTTTATCTCGGATGGATATTAAATTTTATCACGTTTTCTTCATTTATGGCAATGATCATGACTTTTCTTCTTTTTAATGTGGTGAATCACATTGGTTGCTTTTAGATGTTAAACAAGTTTTGTATTTTGGAACTAAATCCTTCTCACATGTATTTAAAATTTTTTGTTTTCTTTACAGCACAGTCTAATGTGCAGGAACATGCTATATTATAATTTCGTTTTTATATCTTGCTAGATTCAGTTTATGAATATTTTGTTTGGGATTTTTGCAACCATGTTCATGAGTGAGTTTTTCTTTCTTCTTTTTTTTTTTTTTTTGGTGGCTGGCCGGGTGGGTTTCTTTTTAATGTCCTCAGCAGACTTTGAAAATCAAAATTATGCTGACCTAAAAAAATAAGTTGGAGAATGTTTAATCTTTTCTATTTTCTCTAAGAGTTTGTGTAAGCCTGATGTTCTTTCTTCCTTAAATATCTGGAGGAATTCACCGATGAAGACGTTTGAACCTGGAGTTTTCTTTGAGAGAAAAGTTTAAATTACAGATTCAATTTAATAGATATACGACTACTCAGGTTCTCTTTCTTCTTGTGTCAGTTTTGATAGTTGTATTTTTCCAGGAATTTGACCATTTCATCTAAATTATCAAATGTATTAGCAAATAGTTGTTCTTAATATCTCGTCTTTTGACTGTCTGCGAGATCTGTAACGATGCCCCCTTTTTCATTCCTGCCATTTCTGTCTTCTCTCTTTTCTTTTTGATCAATCTCAATATAGACTTTTCAATTTTAAAAACCAACTTTTGGGGCCGGCCCGGTGGCGCACTGCGCTAGTGCGCCGCTTGGGAAGCGCGGCGGCGCTCCCGTCAAGGGTTCAGATCCCACATACAGACCGGTTCCTGCTCACTGGCTGAGCGAGGCGCGGGGGCAACACCGAGGGTTGCAATCCCGTTGCCGGTCCCAGTCCGGTACGGGGGCGACACTGAGGGTTGCGAACCATTGCCGGACACGGAAAAAGACAAAAAAAAAAAAACAACCAACTTTTGTCTTTTTTTATCTCCTCTATTGTAAATGTGCTTTCTGTTTAATTTCTGCTTTTTCTTATTCTTCTACTTTCTCCTGGTTTAATTTGCTATTTTACTAACTTCTTTTCTTCTTTTTTTCTCTTTTACTAATTTATTAAGATGGAGGCTTAGATCACTAAGTTTTCAGCCTATCTTCTTTAACACATGCATTTAAAATGACAAAATTTCCCTCTTACCGTGATTTTAACTGCCCCCTACAAGTGTAAATAGCTGAGTATTTTCATCATCATTAAATTGAAAATATTTCCTAGTTTCCATTATTATTTCTTCTCTGACACTTAGGGGGTTTTTTGTTTGTTTTTTGATGGCTGGATGGCCTGGGGATCCAAACCCTTGACCTTGGTGTTGGCAGCACGCTCTACCCCACTGAGCCGACTGGCCGGCCCTAGAAGTCATTTTCTTATCTTCCCAACATAAAGAGATTTTCTTATTACCCCCCCCCCCTTTTTAAAAATTAATCCCTAGCTTAATTTCATTATGGTCAAAGAAAATACTTTACTTCCCCAGAAAAGTTGAAAGAATTTTCCAGCGAGTCCTTGATTTCTCACCACTGGACTCTCCCACGAGCTGCTGACTGCACCTGCCTCACTGCCTCCCAGGCCTGCAGGTCCCCACTGCTTGCTGTGAGGTGCTTCAGGTAAGTTGCAGACACCTCTGCATGTTCCCTACAATACTTCATATGCACGTCTTTGACTAGAATGCAATATTTGTTCACAGTTCGAGATAAAATTTACACATAATGAAACTCCCAGATCTTAAGTGTGCTTCCTATATTCTCTGTGTCACCTACTCTCTCATCATATTTTTCAATTCTGAATTTCTATTAGAATCTTTTAAAAATGTCAGACTTTCTAGTTCTTTGCCATAATTCTCAATATTGTGTATTCTCTCTTTAGATCATGGTAAGAATATAGCTAACAATTTCAGTATCTGGAGATTCCGTTTATCTCTGCTGTCTTATTTTTGCTGTTTAACATTCATGTGGTCTTGATTCCTGTGTGCCTCTATTTATTTTATTATATGTCAGACATTATATTGGAAAAAAAAAAGAAATAACTTGAGATATTCTCCAAAGAGGTTTCTTATTTACTTTTGCCAGGTGTCTTGGCCGTAATAATCTTGGAACTTAATCCACAAACCAGGGGGCTGAGGATGATCAGAGGCTGGGCTGCGTCCATATCTCTCTTACTGCCATATCTCTCTTTGAGGTCTGAACCCAAGTTGCAGAGATTCACCTGAGGCCCTTCCCCATAGCCCCTTGGAGAGCTCTGGACATCGGTTTTTGTGCCCTGAGCCTAGAGAAGCTGTCAGAGGTCATGATCAGCCTCTCAGTCACCTCTGTTGGCATCGGCAAACACTTCCAGGGGAGATGTGACTTGGGTCACATCTCTGGATTTGTTTTTCTCCTGGATCATGGACTGGTAAATTTCCACTCCTTTGCTAGCTCTCTGATGCCTTCAAGTAGTTGTTTTTTGGTTTTGCTTTAGTGTTTTACTCCCTTCTCCTAGCTGTCCTCAGCATTACCTAGTGCACTGTTGGAGGAAGTCTATCAAAGCTTTCTTACTCAGGGCTGGCTCGTCGCTCACTCAGGAGACTGTGGTGCTGATAAAACCCAGGCTGCGCATTCAGATCCCTATGTAGGGATGGCCGGTTAGCTAACTCAGGAGAGCATGGTGCTGACGACACCAAGCCAAGGGTTAAGATCCCCTTACCAGCCATCTTTAAAAAAAAAAAAAAAAAAGCTTTCTTACTCATGTATGATGACAGCAGGATGGAAGTCCCTACCCAGGAGGACAACCAGGCAGCCCCGGCTTCAGACCCTCTGCACCCTGATAAGCCTAGGCCCAGGCCACGTGCAGTAGGAAGGCATGGACTATGAAGTCAGACGGACCTGAATTCAAACCCATACTCAGCTACTAGATGTAAGCATAAGGCAAGCGTTGTCACTGTTTTGAATCAGTTTCCTAACGTGGGGAAGGAAATGGAGAGACATTCTATCTACCAGACAGGATTAGGAAGCTTGGACAAGCCCCACGGGAAAGTAGTCACAGCCCCCAGGCTGTGCACACGGGAGGCACTGAGAGAATGGCCAGTGACTACAGACAGGTAGGAAGTAAATACCGTAAGCAAAGAAGGTCACTGGGAAGGAGGTGAGAAGTACGATGCAGGAAGGGTCTAGGCAGAGGGAACAGCTGAACAAAGGCCCAGAAGAGGGAACTCGAGGGAACAGCACAAGAGGAGCAAGTGTTAGGGTCTGGCTGGGGAACACACAGGATGGGAAGCTGAGAGACACAGGGATCAGATCTCCAGGCCAGGTTGCTGCAGCGCTGCACGCCAAGCTCAGGAGTCTGCTCTGCACAGACACGGTAACTAGCAAAGATGGATCTGATCCACTCTGAACTTCCAGAAGGTCAAGTGCACGGCATGTAGAAGATGAACTGGGGTGGAGCGGGGATGAGGACGAAGTGGAAGGAAATGGGCAGGGGGCGAGAGAGTAGGTCAAAGGCTGGTGCAGGAGCCCAGATGACATGCAGTGATGATCTGAATGTGGACAGTGGTGGACAGGATGAGGCAGTGGCTGTCCTCGGGGCACCGCGTGAAAGCTCTGGCCCCTCCTCCTTGCACGGCCCCTGCAAACTCACAGCCATAGGGGTTGGTGCTTTTAAAGGTGACATCGATGGGGAAGTTCCACACCAGCAATTGCCGCACATCTTGGCTCTTGGATGTGATCTGTGAGATCCCCTCCTCCAGACCCTGTGGGAACAATGACAGGGACAGCTGGTGTCTGTGCTCCAGGTTGCCACATCCCCTCCCCTCACCTCAGGCGGGGGGGCGGCTGGGAGGGCTGTCTTCTCAGCTGTCTTCTACCAAGACACTAACTTCCAAACAAAGAGATAACAGAGCACCTCTCAGGTCTGCTACTTAGCGCAGTGCCTCATCAGAGCATGAGGCGGGATGCCGGCCCCTCTACCGGGCACCAGGTGGTGTCTGCTCTCGCCTCGCTGAAGGAAAGGGCACCGGCAGTGTTTGCCCCCTCTCTCGTGCATCCCCAGCCTCGCCCAGATCAGCCCCATCGGCATTGCAGTACTGTGCGTGTTATTTTCTGTAGCACAAATAACCCTCTCTTGGCTCTACTTCCTCCACCTACCAACCCATTCTTTGCTCCGCTGTACAGCAAAACTCCTTAAAAGAGCTGTCCCACTCACCAGCTCCAGTCCCTCCTCTGCTGTTCTTTCGTGAACCCACTCCAACCTGAGTCCTGGCACCACCGTTCTACCAAAGGGTTTTTTTTAAAGTAATACCAGTGACCTCGACATTGCTATATCCAAAGGTCATTTGTCTGCCTCACTTTACTTGACCCATCAGCAGCATTCAACACAGCTGGTCACTTCTGGAATGTGATCTGCTTCCAGATACACTTGCTTCCCTTGGTTTCTGGGATACCACATGTCTCTGGGTCTTTCTGCCCCCCAAGGTGGCTCCTGTTCTTTGTCTCCTACAGGTCCCTTCTGAGTGCTGGGGTGTCCTGAGGCTCATCTCTGGCCCACTCCTTTACCTGTGCTTGGTGAGCTCACTGGTCTCATGGCTTTCAATGTGGTCTCCATGTTGACGGTTCCCAAATGTATACGTAGGGTAAATGCTGGACATAGCCCACCGCCCCCTCCCTTGCACACCAGAGGTCCCCGCTCCCCTCCTTGGTGGGGGCTGCCCCTGGCCAAGGCGGTTATCCAAAGCCACGTTCTCTTTAGATAAGTAGGATGCTGGAAGAAGCAGGACACTAAGCATGTGAAAGTGGCTCACACCGGGTCCCCGCTCCCCTCCTTGGTGGGGGCTGCCCCTGGCCAAGGCGGTTATCCAAAGCCACGTCCTCTTTAGATAAGTAGGATGCTGGAAGAAGCAGGACACTAAGCATGTGAAAGTGGCTCACACCAGCTGGCTGAGGGCCTGCACGTGGAAGGGACTTACAGTCTTACTTTGATCTGTTCACTATGTAACTGCTGCGTGCGCTCCGCGGTGGCATGGCCTTCTTACTGACTGGCTGCCATCGGTGCCTCTCGAAAGTCTAATAAACCAATGTCTCTACGTGCTGGACCTCCAGGTGATTTCTTCGGAATAGGTAAACACTATGGGAGTGCCCTCTCAGATTTGGGGCTCCCGCATTACAGGATGTCTCCAGCCTGGTCCTCACCTCTGAACTCGGATCAGCATCGCCCATCTCCTACCGACCTCACCTCTCCACTTGGAAGTCTAGTGGGCATCTCAACCTTAACACACACCCGGCTCTAGAAGGTTCTCCCAAATCTGCTCTATCCATAGTCTTCTCTCTGAAAGGCAACTCTCTGCTTCCAAGTGCTCAGGCTAAAAACATGGGTGTTATTCTCAACCCTTTTTCTCTCATACCTGACATCACTATCTTCAAAGTATACCTAAAATTCAGCCACCCCTCCCCCGCCGCTGCTGCCACCATCCTCTCATCTGTGTTACTGTCACAGCCAACTGGTTTCCCTGCTCTTGCCCTTGCTCTGCAGTCTGTTCTTAGTATGGAAGCCAGAGGGATCTTTTAAAAAATTAAGTCAGATCACTTTTGTCTCTGTTCAGAACTCTCTGATGGAGTCCCATCTCCCTGTGAGTAAAGGTCACGGTCCTTACTCTGCTCTTCCAAGCCCTACAGGGTCTGCCCGACCCCCGAATACTCCCGCTGCTTTGTCTCCAGCCACTCTCCTCTTGGCTCAGTCATTTCACTGGCCACACTAGCTCCCTTGCTGGTCCTCAGACGTGCCAGGCAAACTCCTGCCTCGGGGCCTTTGCACTCACTGCTCCTCCTGGCTGGAAAGTTCTTCCACAGATTTCCACATGGCTTGTCCTCTCACTTCCTTCAGGTCTTTACTCACAAGTTACCTTCTCAGTGAGGCCTTCCCTGGCCACCTTATCTAGATCTCGGCCTCCCTTCTATCTGTCCTCCTGTCTTTCTTAACCTCCTGCTTCCTCCGCACTTCTGCCCTCCGGCACTTCTTACTCACTAACACACTAGAATACACACTGTTTATTCAGTCTCCCCGCATGGATGCGCAGTCCAGGAAGCCTGGCTGTGGTCACCACTGCGTCCTCAGCACCCAGAAAAGCCTCAGTAAGTAGTACTCAGTGAACAGATGAATGGAAAATAAGTATCACCATCTCAGTTGCACCGATGAGCAAACAGGCTCAGAGAGGTTAGATAGGTCAGGCCTCCGTTTCTTAAACTGCTGTGCACATTAAACAACCCCTTTGCAAACAGTGAAGTGTGGGGCTGGCCAAGGTCTTCACACAGTGTCTCTCCTGGTGGAGACAGACTGCCCCTTGGAAAGTCTTGGAAGGGGAGCTCCTGTTCTGTCTTCTGACTCCCCAGAGACCATGCCACCAGCTGAGAAGAGGCCAGATGGTGAGGGGACTGGTCAGCTGTCTACTGCTCAGCCTCTCCCAGGCTCTCTGGGGCTGACCTGCCTGCACTGCCCATGCATTCCTCTTTGCAGCCACCTGCAAGCTCACAGGATGGGGTATGTGAGCGAGTGCAGGCTTGGCGGATGCAGCAGGGAGCCCCGTGGTGGCTGTGTTCTCTGTTCCACCTTTGCCAGGAACAAACTCAAGTTTGGGTCCTCTCTGAATTTGGTGTCTACCTCTCAACTGGTTCTGAGCAGGGAGAAGAAGGGTGTGATGGGCACCTTCAGAAATCCAAACAGTAATGAAGGCCATAGTAAGGGAAGCCCAAGAGTCCAGCTTACCGCTGTGGGGGCCCAGTCCTGGCCGTACACAAAGCAGTACTTGCAGTAGAGGTCATCATATTCTGGAAACTGCGGAAAAAGCACATGTGGGTCCTGTTTACTGGGCCTCAGGCTGAGGCCAGTGCGCATGCTGGGCAGGTACAACCAATGGGAACTTTAAAACGAGGTACCTGGAGCAGGGTCTAAAGACAGCTGGGGATGTGCACATGGAGTTCAGCTGAGAGGCTGGGGACCCAGATGTGGGAGTCCAAGGGAGAGTCCCAGGCTGCTACTGCCCCTGGCCTTTGCTCAGGCTCGTCTTCTCTGTGATATGCCCTTCCCACTCCTTCATCTGGGAAACTCATTATTTGAAACTTACCCCTCAGGGAGCCTGCTCTAACTCCCAGGCTGGTTCAAGGGCCACCTCTTGGCTCCTTCAGCCCTTGTGTTTCGCTCCATCAATGCACTGATGGCCTGTGTCAATGTCTGTCAGCCCCACTAGAATGTGAAGAGGGAACATGTTTGATGCCTTCTGTGTCCCCAGTGCCTGGCACAGGGGTAGGCGCAGACAAGATCTAAGGGAAGGTGCTCAAGTGAAGGGTCTGGGAACCCAGGAAGCCATCTGGACACAGTATGTGCATGGCTGGAGCTGAGGGCCTGAAAAGAGGGAGGGGGCCCAGAGCAGAGGGGGACGTCCAGTGGGGGTGGGGGTGCTGAGAGCACAGACACATGTGACCCAGCCCAGCTGAGAGACTCTAACGGGGCAGGACAGGAGAGAAGGGGAAGCCGTGGGCACTAGGTCAAGGCGGAGGGGGGGACAGGGTGGAGCATCCCTGATGAAAACAGGAAGGCAGAAGACACCTACTCAGCGTCAGGTCCTGGCAGAGCTCTACCTAAACCATCTCAATCAATCTTCACAACAATATTATAATAACAAACACCATCTCCAACAGCTTGGTAGGACAGTGAGTAGAGCTTTGACACCAGATAAGTTTTCTCAGCTGTAAAATGGGGAGGTTAGTGAAATTACCCCCCAGGGTTGTTGTGAGGACTAAGTGAGCATTGCCGTGCACTGAGTTGGGCACACAGCGAGTACGTGACGAACGCCCGATTACATTTATTTATGATAAATGGTGCTTATAAAGCGTAGGGTGGGGGACAGTAGCGTCCCTTTGGTTTGACAGACACACCCTTCCTGGATCATTCCAGGCCACCACGATCGTGGATCAGACCAAAGCATCCCAGTTTGAACGACGTTCAAGCATCCGCGGCTTTAGAGCCCCAGACTCGCCCACCGAGGACTAGGCCCCGTGTGCCGGCCGAGCCTCGGCTCCTCCCGTTACACGCCGGGAGGCTCCGCCGTGACTCAACTGAGTGGACACGATCCGACCAGGGACCACAGGCTTGGCCGGCGTGACCCGGGTACCGGCTCAGCTCTCGAGGTTGCTCCCTCCCCGCACAGCGGGGCTCAGGGCTCCCAGCAACCGCGCGCCGAGCCCCTCCAGCGCCGGTTCCCCTCCCCCGCCTGGCCGCGGGGCTGGGAGCGAGGACCTGGCTCTCCGGGCTCCGCGGCCGCTCACCTGGGCGCTCTCCACCTGCCCATTGACCATGAGCAGGAAGACGCTCGGGTTCGCGGCCGCCATGGTAGGGCTGTGGGCTCGGGGGGAGGGGGGGGCGCCCAGGCCGCGCACGTGGTTGCTAGGAGACGCAGGGGTTGTCCTGGAAACAGACGGCGCGGCGCGAGGGACACGTTTCTTGGCAGAGGCAAGTTCGCACAGGCTAGTGTAGGGTGCAGTGCTGCGCAGGCGCAGTGAGCAGGAGCCGTCCGGGGCCGGAACTCGGGAGGGGCGCGGCCCCTCTGGAGGAGCCGGGACGGGCCCCGCGGGGAGGACTAGCCGCGCCCCCGGTCCGCCCCGAAGCGCCGAGGCGGGAAAGAGCGGGGTCGCGGGCAGAAGCGCCCGGGCCCTCCGCAGGCCACGTGTCGAAAATACCCGTCGGCCGCAAGATGTCGCTGTGGCCCTGCGGGAGGACTGCGGGGCGGGCAGCGCGACCACGGCGCGTCGGGGTTAACGCTGGAAGGCCGGGGGCGCAGAGGAGGGGCCTCCGCTGGGGCCAGGCAGCTCCCTGCGTCACGTGGAGGGGACGCGCCCTTGTGGGTTTTGAGACTCTCGTCCCGAGAAAGTTTATTAAACAAGCTTAGGGGGGACCTCAAAAATCTTTATATCCAAGCCACCGCTCCTCAGTGTGAAGCTGGGGAAACTGAGGCCCAGGGAGGGGCAGCACCTGGCACCCCCGTCAGCCAGCCGTCAGGGGAATTGCTGGCCAGAACCCAGGGGTCTGTCAAGGCCCTGTGCAAATGCTGGTTACTCCCTGGTCACCCCAGCAGGTCGCAGCTTCCACTAACGCATGGGACTGGTTCCTCTCAGTGATCACCGCGTCTGTTTCGTGCATTTATTATTGTCCCGATGCTTGCCTTCCTCACTGCACTGCCAGCTCTGTGAGGACAGGGACCATGTATCCTCGTGGCCTGACGCATAGTAAGCACTCGGTAACTACTTGCCGAATGAGTAAGTAATTGAATACATCTCTATTTACAGAGGAGAGACTGAAATCCAGTCGGGGAAGGGGTCTTGTACACAGTCACAGGAACAGGTAGGATTCAAACCCAGGACTCCCCAGGCTGAAGACCCTTACTGCTGCCTCTGCCTTGTCCTGGGCCGGGCCCAACGGCGCCTCTTGGTGGAGGTGTCAAAGGAGACATTAGAGACCTTATTTTGGATCCAGGCAATGGAGAGATGCACAGGTGTGTAGATTTCAGGGAGACCTGGTCCAAAGCAGGGACCCCAGGTCATGATGCCCTGCAGCAGCCAGCTGCCACCTTGTAAATAGACCAGGGGGCCCCCATCAGCCACCTGTGCGGAAGAGAGAAGCCCCAGTCCGGCCCAGACCCCCAGGTGAAGCCGCCCCCCAGGTGAGCAGAGGTACCTGATCAGGGGAGGGGGGTGTGGGCAACCAGGGTTGGGGGTGTAAGTCTAAGGGCAACACTCAGAACACAGGGCAGGACCTGTCTGCCTCCCAAGGGACGCAGTCATACTCCCACAACTGCTCACACCGTCTCTCCAGTTGAAATGCTTTCTCCCACAAATTCCACCAGTCTCGCCCAAGTGTTTCCTCCCTGTGACCTTTGAGGCTCAGTATTGCACAAAAGCTAGTTTTCAGCAATATGCTTGTCAATATCAAATAACTGGGGGCTCCTAGTGGTTTAAAACCTCGCTACGTCAAAGGCTGTCCCACATTCAAACAGGACGTAATGAGGACATCTGCCCAAGGGGCAGGGAGCTCTGGAGTGGTCCTAGAGGTGCAGATAAGCCCAATCCCTGGGTGTTGGGGAATGAGAATCCCAAGGTAGGGAGGGAGGGTGACCAGTCCTAACTTTAGCAAGCCTAGTGGCATTAGAAGGGATTCAGGGGAGGGGGTCTTTGGGGCTTGCTCAGGGTCCATGAGAATATTTACCACTACTTCAGGTGGGCCGGCGGGGGGAATGGTGCACTGGGAACCCTCGGGCAGGCTGTCCTTCATGTCAGGACAGGTTGGAGGAGAAAGTTGTCTCTGCAGCTGCTCATGTGCAGCGGTATCAGCAGGACACTGTGCAGTTCTTTGGGTGGGATGTAGGGATCTGCACAGCGGTGGGCGGGGGAGGGCGGAACAGGAGGCAGACCCTCAGCCCGGGCTGACAGGCAGCAGATTTGCACCTGTGAGCACATCGCCAGACTCCCCACCTATGCCAAGCCTCCTGGCCCCCAGGCGCCTTCCTGGGCTTCTGATCCCGACACTCCTCACTTCCTCCTTACCCTTCGTACAACTCCATCCTCCGCTGGACTCTCACACACCGCCTCGGGGAAGCTTCCAGCCCATTGGGAGCTGGGGGACACACCAGGGCTGGGGAGGGGCGGGGAGGGTGGTGGCAAGGTGGTGCCCAGCGCCAGCCATCTGGGCAGGGGTGGGTTGGAAGCTGACTCAGGCATAGCAGGTGTCAGTGTCCACCCTCTCCCGCTGCATGCCCATGGCTTGATTCTGACAAGCAGCTGGCCAGAGCCAGGCTGTTATCTGGGGCTCAGGGACTCTGGGATTACTGCCCCTGCGTGGTCCCGAGCTCCACCTGGGCTGTCCACCTCCCCCAATCTGGCCTCTCACGCCGCCCTCAACTGCCCTGGGCTTACCGAAATCAGGTTCAAACCCTTGGGCCCAGCAGAACTGCCATGGGAGGAAAGGTTGGGGCCAGGTGGCCAGGGGGATAGGCTGCACAGCACTGCTGAGAGCTGGAGGACTTGCCTGCCAGTCAGGCCAGGGCCAGGCCACCAAACCTGGAGCCCTCAGACCCTTCTGAAGACAGAAGCAGCTCCTTCATGGCAGAGTTGATCTCACAGTCGACGTGGGCCCAGGGTGACATTGAAGTGGGACCAAGGCCAACTGTGGGGAGAGTGAGGTGAAGGGAGAGTGGAGAAGCTGGGGGCCTTCCATCTGGAGCCCCTCTTCGCCACCCTCCCTGGCCCCTGCACCCACCTGCTGAGGCAGTTTGCATTTGTGAGTACCCACTCTTGGGAGATGAGGGCACCCTCGCAGCGGTACTGGGTGTCCAGGAAGATGCTGGCCTGCCAAGGCCACATGGCTGGGCCCTTCCTGCTGTAGGCCTCGGCCAGCCTGGACCATGCGCCTTGCGAGAATGAGGCCTTGGAGCTGAGCTCTGGGTCCCGTGACCCTCCGAGTCTGCCATCCATCTCTTTCCACCCAGCCCCTGCTGGTCTCTGCAGCTCCAACTCCCACCGCTTGGCCCTCCAGCTTGAGATCAGACTGCCTGCAGTGGAATCCTGTGTGACTCGGGGCAAGTTACTTAACCTCTCAGAGTCTGTTTCCTCGCCACACCCTGAGGGTGGTTGTGAGGATTACCTGTGATAATATATGTCAGGTACGTAGAACATACTGGAGCTCACTACATTTTTAGCTGTTCTTACTACTGAAAGTTGTTCTTGGGATGCTCAGGTTTTTTCATGCCCCCAGGTTTGCACATGCTCTTCCCTCTACCTAGTGTATCGTTCCCTACCTTATCTGCCTGGAGAACTCCTATTCAGCCTCCAAAGCCCACCTTCGTGAAGTCTTCCTTGCCCCCACAGTCTGCTCCTCACCTCCTGCCCGGGAGCTCATTATAGGTGGTGTCCAGCTCTGCTTGCTTTCCTCTCAAGACAGGGAGCTCACTCATTACTAAGGCAGCTGGGTCTCCTTTAGTAGTGCCCTCTTTTTTCCCCACCCTGTTAGTCAGGATCCACCCTCAGGACCTTCAAAGGCAGTGTCCAACCTGAATGGAGCTTCCCCCTCCAGGCTAGACGCCCCCGCTACCTGTCATCTCTGTCCTAGGCCCAGGTTCCTGTTCCTCAAACCCAAGACTGGGTTACTGGTTCTAACAGACCCTGGACTCTCAGCCCTCCAGAGATGGGCAGCCCCCTTCCCCCCATAAGAGCTCCCTCCCTTCCTTTCTACCTGCCAGACCCCCTATCCGCAGCTCTTTACCAAATAGCAGCAACAGCAGCAGTGGGGACATCTGTAGAGAGATCTCCAGCCAGGCTGGCCTCCTCGCTGTCAGCTTGGGAAATTTAAGCTCTCCAGTGCCTCCTCCCCACTGCCCCCATCAGGCTCACGTCACTGGGTGAAGGGGAACTGGCCTGGCGAAGAGGAAGCTGCCATGGCAGGGCCTGAGCTCACACCTGGGGTGGGCAGGCATCCTGTTTACAGACCTCGGCACTCCTGGGCTCTGTAGATCCTCCTCCCAGGATCCCATCCTGGTGATGGGGGCCAGAGAACTTCTCCGAGCCCTGTGCTGCCTCCTGTCTCAAGTGAGAGGCAGAGAGGATAGCCAGCTAAGATCGACAGCAACAGAAATAATCCAGCCAGGAAGCTCTGGGCATTGTTGCAGGGCTCCACGGTGACCCCACAAGACCAATGCTTCTAGCCCTTTTTGACGGATGGGGAGACTGGGGCTTAGAGAGAGGAAGTGACTTCCCAATAGCAGTGCGTTGGAAGCGGTCAGGATTCGAACCAGGATCCCTGGGACTCCAAGTCCCCAAATCATTCCTCTCCAAGCACTTATAGGTCTTTCCTCCTGGCTTTGCCTCTCGGCTCTTCAGTGGAGAGGCCATGCCTGGAATTCCTGCTTTCCTGTGGTCTGGGACGCAGGTCAGGCACAGGGCTGAACTTCACAAATGACACCATGTCAACACCCTCGGTGGCCTGTCCCTGACAGATCTTCCTGCTGCCTCACCCTGCACATCAGCCCTGCAGTATTGGATGTCTGCTCACCACCTTCTTAAAAGTGTTGTATGTTTTTTATTGAGGGCAAATTCACATAACCTAAGAGGAACCTTTTAAATTTTTCAAATTTTATTTTAACATTTATTATATGTATTTGTGGAGTACAGTGTGTTGTTTCAATACAGGCATATACTGCACAATGATTCACTTAGGGTAGACAGCATAGCTTTGTACTCGATCCACCACTTCCCCTCCCTCCAGGCCTCCAGTAACCATTATTATACTCTCTTCTTCTATGAGAAACACTTTTTTTTTTCATATTCCACATATGAGTGAGATCATGTGGTATTTTCCTTCTGTGCCTGACTGATTTCACTTAACACGTTTGTTAACGGTTATTAATGGTTTCCAGTTCCATCTATGTCGCTGCAAATGATAGGATATCATTACTTTTTATAGCTGAATGGTGATCCATTGTGTATGTACACCACAGGTTTTTATC